GTTTAAACAGTTCAGTTTTCATCTGTGTTTGGAACATTTCAAGGAATTTCCTACTTGTCTCTGCAAACATAACCCTTTAAATGTAATTATTTTAATGGCTCCTTCTGCTCTCCAGCTCCTATTCTTTCCTGCCATATGGGAAAGTGGCCCTTCAGTAAGCCGCCCCTCACCTTAAAGGAGCATATCCGTCTTCACAGAGAAGTCCAGGGCCTTCCCACCCGACTCAGAACCAAAGAGTCCTAGAAGTTCATGATGGAATCAGGAATTCTCTGCCCACAGCAGTCCCACTGAGGAGGGGAGTTGCTCATCCTGCCTTTTATACGCCTGACCCCTCACAAACCACCACCAGCAACGGCTCAGTCTACCTTTAGGTCGGTGTCTCGGGCTCTCTGGTTCATTTCTCCTGCTGCGCTCTGACCCTCCATCCCGTTCCGATCTGCTGCTGTGCCGGCTTCTATCCCGCTCATCTGTCAAGAGTCACACGCAGAGCTTAGGAAACATGTGTCCCATCCCAACTTCCACCCGTCTTCACCCTCAGGAAAGGACAGGCCTTCCCACTCACTCACAGGTACAACCTGCACTGCTCTACTACGATCCATGGGCTCCTGACACTCACATGTCCCCATTCTTTCAAGGGGAAAAACTAGTTACTGGCTAGAAAGTTTCAAACTCACAGTAACAGTTACTTTCCTGTAAGAATTCAGAAAAGGATAGTTACAAGTCTATAGTGAGTAGCTGCTTTAAAAGTTACAAGTCTATAAGGTATAAAACTTAAACACTACTGAGCAAGGCAGCACTGGACTATGTCTAGCTTTGCTCCATAGCACTGTCCTTTCTCTGTCATTAGCACTATTATCAACTCTGGTTTCTCAGACATACTACTCATTATCACCTTTATCACCAAGTTGCATAATAAAAGGAAGACCACACATTCAAACATAGCAGCTATGTTGCAAGTAACAGTTCTTAAACTGCCTGCTATTCCCAATCCCAACAGGGTCAAAACCAATCAGAATGACATTATGCAAATAGGGCTTCTTAATTTAATGGGCATTATAAAAACTCCTGCAACAGGAAAGATGCTGGCACGTTCATTCAAATACTTAATGTGCTATGGGACCTATGCTGGGCACCCTACCTCTGTCTCTCTTGCGGTCACCATCTCGATCCCGCGATCTCTCCTTCCGATCCTTCTCTTCTTTGGACGAGGCATAGACACCATGTTCCCGGCGCTCCCGCTCTCTCTGCCGACTACGTTCCCAAAACTCTTCGCTCACACCACCAGGGTGGGATGGAGTCTCTACCCGAGCAGAGCGATAATGTCTGAAACAGGGAGGGCAACAGGTAAAGGAGAAAAGCCTTGCCTGCCTCTGGCTGTGCCCAACAAGTGACCTGTCCTTTTCCTTCATCCCCTGGTACTGCAGGCTTCCATACGGCAACAACCCAAAGCATTTCTAACCACCACCATCTACTCACTGGTCTCCTTTAAATGTGCCCCACAAATCTGAAGAATGTACCAGTTCCTACCTGCCCTCAATATTATAAAATCAAATAAATCCAAGAAAACTGAGAGATAAATGTGGGCCATTATTCCCTATGGGTCAACCCATCCTAAAGCCTTTACCTGTCTTTCCGGCTACCTCGACCAGACTGGTCACTGCCGTCCTCCTCAGCATCCCTCTGGTCATCCTTGCTCTCTTCCCAGTCCTTGTAGGAAGAGACTTTGGATTTCTTCTTGTCTTCCCCATCGTCTTTCTCCTCTCGCTCCCTCCGTTTCAGGGAGGCCAACAAGTCCAGTCCCAGCAATGAAGGGCGGGGAGCAGGGGCCTTAAAGACATGCTGCTCACTGGCTGCACTTTTGGTCTTGCAAATAAGACCGCCAACCTGAGAGTCCCCATCAGTGCCTTCCAATCTATGGATCGAGGTGTCTTCACTGGTGTCCTCCATGATAGGCTCTGGGATGTCTCTGGAAGGAAACAAACCATTTGGCAAAGGACATAAGAGGGGAAAGGCTTAGCTCTGCTGTATCCTAAGACAGCTGTAGTCATAGCTATATTTAAGACCAGGATTTCTTAAGTACCTCTTGCTAAGATCCTTCCATCAAGTCATTGACAATCTCAAAAGATCACCCTACTCCCACCTCAACACACATAAGAAATATACACACATTCACCCCAAATACCAGGATCCAAGACAGCATCCTCGGGCCTCATGGTGGCACACTTATTAGAGCATGATGACATCTATACAGGGAGTGTCGGGGATTTGAAGTCAGAAACTCAAGCAGATATGAAGTCAGAAACCTCAGTGGGAACCCAGGCTCCTGATTATTTCCTACCTGTATGAGTGGAAGCAAATAACTTCATCTTTGGTTAGGCATGATTTCTACATCTATAAAATGGAAATACTTTTTGCTCTAATCCATGGACTTCTTGTGAAAATCAAACAAAAGAGAATATGTGAAAGCTCTCTGTAACTATAAAGAGTTACATAAATGCAATTGTTACATTATATTCTTTGCTGTGCTCCTATGCTGGGTCCCTTGCCATTTTTTTTTACATGAGTTCTTCTACCTCTCCCTCCCTTTAAACTCACAGAGACTGCAGAGATATTGGGGTACAAGGCTACCATCTATGTGATCCATACTTTACTGGCTTTTTTTGGACCAGTTGTATATAGAACTCAAAATCTGTTTAAAAATCATCTATGTTCATCAAAAACATTGATGAGAAGCACTAGGTTAGAAAATGGGTGTTTCTGAAGAGTATTTATTTAGGTGGCTGTAAGATTTCCTGGTACTCCACTTGTAATCAATTCCTCTTTTCCTCCCATTATACACCATCCACTTGTGAACATACACCAATTCTGAGCTCTTGGATAATTCCCCTCATTCCAACAAGTCAGTGAAGCAAAGGCAGTGTCAAGGAGCGGTGTACCACCAGAATTCAGAATGGTTTGCACAGCCCCAATTAACGTGCACAGCTCTATGGAGGAATACAGTCAAACAGATTAGACACATAATATGGACACAGAAACAAGAGCTACGTTTTGAAAAATGTCATCAGGGGCCTGGCCTTGTAGGAAGTTTCCTCAGTGGTTAGAGCATCGGCCAGCCAACTGAAGGGTCATGGGTTTGATTCCTGATCAAGGGTCAAGGGCCAAGGGCACATATCTGGGTTGTAGGTTCAGTCTCGCCCCAATCGGGGCATGTGCAGGAGACAGCCAATCGATATGTCTCACATCAATGTTTCTCTCTCTTTCTCTCTTTCTCTCTCTCTCCCTCCCTCCCTCCTCCTACCTTCCTTTCTCCCACCCTTCCTTCCTTCCACTTTCTGAAAATCAATGGGAAAAAATATCCTCAGATGACGATTAGCAAAGAAAAAGAAAGAAAGAAAGAAAGAAAGAAAGAAAGAAAGAAAGAAAGAAAGAAAGAAAGAAAGAAAGAAAAAAGAAAGAAAGAAAGAAAAGAAAAGAAAAGAAAAGAAAAGAGAAAAGAAAAGAAAAGAAAAGAAAAGAAAAGAAAAGAAAAGAAAAGAAAGAAAGATGTCGAGTAGGAGAAGGAAAGGCTGCATGTTGTTATCTGAATATACCCGTGAGAAAATCTAAGCAAGAAGGTGGAGCCATACAGGCTCTGCTCGGAAGTCGTCTAACCTAGAAAATATTGGAATGCCATTCCCATGCCATTCTACGCAGGAGAAAGAGCCCTGACTTGTCTGTCTTGCTGATGCTCTACTCAATGCCTAGCAAAACACACGTTCGATGAATAAATGGATTAATGAATTTAAACTGATTAAAGGGAAACCGGAAGTGAGCCATTTGGAGAGACGGCAAGAGAAGATACCAGCGGCACTAGACAAGGTGTCTGACAGCAAAACTTAATTCGCTGCTGAGATGAATAAATAAGGAGCTAAGGGGCTGGATTCTGGAGAAGGATTAATGACAAACAGGCTACATGGGGTAGGAGGGGGGAAAAACAATGGAAGAGAGAAACTGGATTTACTCATTGAACAATTATTCATTCAGTCCCTTCCCTGAGCCCATCGCTGTTCTGGGAAATAGGGACAGAGCAGAGAACCAACCAGACGAAAACCCCCGCCCTCTTGGGGTTAACATTCTAGCAGAGGAGATGGCCTAGAGATACAATGTGTCAGCGAAGAGGAAGGCACAAGGCTCAGACGTCCGTGTGGGAGCGGGCTAATGCCGAGGCCCAAGGAGGGCGACCCGGGAAGCATCCCTGGCCGCAGAGGCCGCCCCGGGTCCGAGCAGAACAGAGAGAAAAGCCCGGCCAGGCAGGACCCGCGCGCATCCCTCGGGTAAGACAAGCCAAGTGACAGGGACCAGACTTCCCAAGCCCGGGCCCGACCTGAGCGAAGGACAGACACCCGCCGCCTGGAGCCGCCATGATCGGCGAAGGGCAGGTCCGGAAGGAAGAAGGGACACTCACCTCACCAAGCCCGACTCTCGGGAGGTTCTGTCCCGGATCCCGGGGCGCCGGCGCCGCCACCCCTCGCTCAGATCGCCTTAGAGAACCAAAACCTGCACCTTGAACGCCGCCATTATTGCCCCATAATACCTTGTGCGGCCCCTTCTATCCGTCCAAAGAGACCATAGAGAGCGACCCGGAAAATGCCGGTTCCTGGCTCCAGGCCCGGGACATAACGCGACCAGGCCCTCAAGACTAGAATGCCCTCCTCTGGGCCTCTGCTCAGAGACACTTCCGAGTCTCGCCGCGACCAACCGCACCGGCCGGAGAGGCGAGGCCCCGCCTCTAGCCCGAGAGGGTGGGAGGGAACAGGAGAGAAGCCGGGCATGTTTAGTAAGGGCGGAAGTGACTCCAGCGACTGGAGCAACCGGTTTCTTGGGCTACGCTGGTTCATCTACTGCGCCTGTGCGTTTTCTGGTTCATCTACTGCGCCTGCGTGTTTTCTTCTTCCGTTTCCGTTTCCTGAAGCGGACCGCCCAGCGTTGCTAGGCAACAGCCCCAGGTTGCTTTGCATTAGGGTCCCTGAGCGCTTCCGGCGCGAAGAAAGGAGCCGCCAGTCCTGAAGTTGGAGGGAGGAAACGTCTACAAATAAAGTAAGTGTCGTCTTCCCTACCACGGACATCATTAAAATTTAATCAGGGGCCCCTGTGGTTTTCAAGCGTGAGCTGTATTTTCCATTCCCGGCGGGGAATCCGGGTACCCGGCGGCCGACTTAAGTTGTACGGGAATTTTCGACCGCGCGGGCCGGAGGCGCCCCACCCCGGCCTCGTTCCGGGGTCCGCTGTGTGGACTGTTTTGGGAGGAGAAAGACGCGCATTCGACGTAAATAAAACCCCCCTGTCTGTCCGCACGCAGCGGTCGCCGCTGGTGGCGTGGGGGGTATTCCTTCCCGGTTACTTTTGTTGGTAAGTTTGTGTGATAGTTAGGTTTTGTACCGGGACTGTGGAGTGTGGTATCACGCTGTCTCGTAACTCTTTTCTTTATCATGAGAACTTTACAGTATCTGCGATGTTCATCTCTAAGACAGTACGTAGTGACTTTCACAGTACATTGCAGAACTGCACTACCTTTTATTTCACCAGTCCCCTATTAAATCGCCATGTAAGCTATTTCCAGGTTTTTGCCACTGTAAGTGGGATGAGTATCCTTTGTGCGTACATCTTTGTGCGCATGTCTGTTTCCTGAGCTGATTCTCAGGCTGGAATGGTTTGTCTGGGAACATTTCAGCTTTCTGTTTGCCTCTCTGCGCTCCATCGGGACTGTGCGTGCCTGCCCTTCAGCCCTTCATTCACACGCTTTCCATTTTTATTTCTCTTTACAAATTAATAACTTTAAAAGTATATCTTTTATTTATTTTCTGGCGCATACTTAATAAATAGATAGTCATGTGATAGTGAGTGTAAGTGGCGGCGCTTTTGGGACCTTTTGCAGTGGAATATGTGTAAGGGTAGCGTTCCGATCTCTGTCCCCTCGCAA